AACCTTCGTTGAGCTTTGAATAGTTGATCAAGTCGCCCAAGCGCTTCATGATACCGGTCTTGTAATTGCCGTCCTTGTCTTTCTGCGGCAGGGGGAACCTCATGGCACCAACATCCTAGTTAGCGAGAAAGAGGTTAGATAGTTAGCATTATTGGTACGACAGCATCAAATTGACATACGTAGTAGTCATATTCCCCGCCATCCTGGAACTTGTAGGTGAAGAGGCGGCCACCGGTGCGGTCCGACGCCTCCAAGATTTCGTAGTTGATGCCCAGTGAATCTAGCATGAGGGCGGTGTATAGACCACCAACTCCTGCCCCTAAAATCCCAACCGTATTGTTGCTCTTATCAAGAGCGCCATCCAGAGAGAGAGGAAGCTTCGATAATGTCGGTAGATGCGGGGTAGGAAGCTTTTTGAGAAGAACACTATCATGATCATGGATGATGTTTCGACCAAAATAGCCTAACAAGTCTCCTCCAAAATCCATGGTAAGCGTAAGTGATATTGAAGATGGGATGTGTCGAATAAGACTGCTCTGGTATGAACAAAACCGAAACTCACATTATATATTGTGATTTTTATTCGGAGATATAGTATGAGACTTGACCCCAGATCTGCCAGGGCCATATCCTAGCCAGCGGGCCTCCGTGATAGAAACCAGTTCCAGGTCAAAGAGCCCAAAATACCTGATGTGAAGGCGGTCAGCTGGGTTTGCAGATAGTGGACACGAAGTACCTGACCACAATCAAAACGCTATCACCGCTTAGAACTATGCCGTTACAACATGCTGTTTTATTTTGGTAATGTCACTTAGTATGAATCCTGGAACACAGCCAAAGTATGTACTTACATGCCAGGTTACGGTTTTGCCCATCCCTATGCATCTTCGATTGGAATTTCGCATGTGACCGTATTTGTGAATTGATGTGTTCTAGCTGTAGTATCTGCTGAGTCAAACGCCCAGCGTTGAGCAGGTGATTCAAGTCGGAACCAGTCACCAGCAACCCATCATACTACCTGTCAATATTGACGTCCTCCGTATTCCACGTCCCATGATCGGTGGCCGAGGCTATATCGATTGAAAATGTGGCGCATCTGGACTCCACATGAACTCGGAACTCTGAACTCAAGCATGATGACATGGAATATGACTGCCTCACTCAAGACTGACCTCGCAGATGAAATTTCTCCTTTGATGATTGAGAACTTCTATATCCTACTGCATATGAGCTCTGTTCTGGTAGGTCTTGGAAGTGGCGAGCAAATTCTATAATAATCATGTCAAAGTGTTACCACCGTCGTCGTCTGAGAAAGAATGTTTTGGGTGAATCCGAAGAAGGCCGCCCGGCGGGCCGACAATCCTAAAAGCCGCCATTGAACCTAAGCGCTCGCTGCTCCCATATCCTCTCTCCTTATCCGTAAATCAAGGCACCTAGTACGCCTCGCCTCCATCTGTTACGGCATCACTCACGATCTTGCAAACAATGGTGGGACGCCACCTGTCATGTATCATCATGTGTCTTTGACAGTGAGTGTTTGCCTATCCTGCCACCGATTCGTTGTTGCCCGTAGACAACTCCGCACAGTTCAACCAAGAAAAAAAATATTCCGAGATTGCATGCGCAAGGAAGAGATCTCATTATTCTCTGACGTTAAACAAACACTAACCCCCTTTCTACCTGTCCTCAGATGAATGCAACTCTTCAGCGCCTCAAATCGTCTGTGCTGTATCGGATGCAAAGATATTTGTATGAAGTGAACTGCTGCAGAATTTCAAACTACCAGGCTGTCACTCCGGATAATTTTCCTTCCGCGTTTGTTCGTCTTGCGCCATTTTTGCAGCTGGACAGAGTACTTTTGCAACATGACATTTTGTCTACCCGATGCTCTAAATTTATAATTTCTAAGTCTAACGTTCCGAAACGCTGAAGATATGAGAAAACTTCAATTTTGGTTCTGACAGGTTCTGACAGCATCTTCCATATTATGCACCGCCGATTGATATACGCCAACGTTCCTACACAGCAAATGTACTCATATCTAACGCAATGGACGAGGCGAACATCTGCATGAGTAAAGGAAGACCGGCATAATATCTAAGGCAGAAGACGAGTTAAAATGATCTGTGTGGTCAGATGGAGGCATTAGTTCAGTTCTCTGATCACAGCATTGAGACCAAGTTATCTAAC